GATATTATTATTATTATTAAGATCATTAAACAAGATGAAATCGAACAATAATAAAAAATACATTTGAACTATTTTTTTAATTTAATATTTACTCTAAAAGTTCTTAAAAGTTTTCCAGTTTTTAAATCCCAAATTTTCACTAATAAACTTCTACTAGCACTAACTAATAATTTGTCATCAGGAGTTATGCCAAAGGTAGTGATAAGATCACTATCCTATATTCCAACAAATTAAAGAATCATTATCATCATTGTATTTTGAAAGTGATGAAATTATTGTAATTATCATCATTATTAACCTACATACACCACTTAGTCTAAACAATTTTTGTCCGTCATAAATATTAATAACATCAATATCTTCTCCAACAGTTGTTATTAAAGCATTCTCGTCAGATGTTATACATGCTTTCCCGCCAGTGTAAAGTTGACCAATTGACTGGATAACTTTGAAACTTTGATTATTATAAGATTAATATCATTTCTGTTAATATGTAACTCGTATAATAATATTATTAACTAGGATACACACCTGGTTTTGATTTGTTTTTTTCCATTTGATTCAAGCATTTTATAATAATTTCGTTGATTGATTATCAAGAAAAAATTTAATGACGATCATAATTAAATGAATTGATTTTAAATTAAAGAAAAAACATGATAAAACAGCCAAACATATCAATATAACTCATCAATACCCATTTGTCTCAGTCTTTTAAAACTGCGTGGTGCTCGTAAAGACAAATTATTTACCTTGAAAACAAACGGTTTAGAGGAATATATTCGTAAAATCGCATCCAAAATTTGATTCACGAGCTTTAGTTGATGTTAATTTAGCAAATATATTTAAAAAATTGTTTTTACAATATTCAAATATACATCAGTCGCCTTCTCTGATGAAACTCTGGGATGGCTCAGGCCATATGTTTATTTGTCGACTAATCAAAAATATACATTATACATGACAGTCTATAAAGAATTTCGACAACATTTTTATTTAGAATATAATTAATAATAAATAGTATTATATTTTATAAGAACCCCATTTGAATTTATTTTATCCGGGTGATTTTTCTATTAATTGTTTTAACTGCATCTTTTGATTTGATCCTCATTCCTTTAAATTTTCTAGTACTGGTAGTTCATTATGTAATAGTTTGATTTTGAAGGCTTTCCATCCACTGTCTTTGAAAGATGTAGAAGAAGAAAAACCAGTTCTCAAGATAACCATGTGCACTTCTACTCTATTTTATGTATTTCTTCCTCAGTTAAAAATGGTTGAAACCAATTTAAAGAGATCCAAGAATTTAATCGTTTTGCTTTGCATATTTGTTTGATAAAATTTCTACAGGTTGGAAACTCTTTCCAATATAATGTTAACATGTTTATTTTTGTGATTTGGTTATTACTACTTCCTGGTTTGGCTGATGAGTCAGCTATATTATTGAGAGGATAATTATTGGAGTGAGCTTTAACTTTGTTAATTTTACCATTAAATTTTGAATAAATGCTTTCCCATAAATAAAATTGTTAAATTTAAGGTAAGAAGGTCTAATTGTTTTTGATTGTTGTTTCCAATTGTTAAAACCATCAATAGTAGCTTGCGAATCCAAGTATAATTACATTATGAGTTTTTGAATTAATTCCATATATATATTATAATGACAAACAACAATGTATCAATTATGAATACTTATTTTAAAAGAAAAAAAATATATATATAACACACTCACTACATGGACAAAAGTCAGGCACATTTTTAAACAAAAATTTCATAAAAAATACCATTTTGCAACTTGGGTTCACCAAACTATATATGCAAAATTTGAGAACCCAATGATGCCAGATCTTTAATAATAATATGTATGATCTGATTGGAGTCTTTGGCTCAGAATGATTTATTTCCTATTTTTTACAAACTCAACTGTCATACCCACCACAGCTGCTGTCACTACACACAATCTACCACCATTAATACATCCATCTTCCACTCCTTTAACTATTGCTGCTGCTAACAATAATATAAAATCAACTGATCAATCAAGTAATAATGATTTAGAATTAATATCAATCCTGATAATTAGCAGCTGAAGAAGAAATACAGCTGCATCTGCCAGATTTAGTGTTAAAAAGAAATTACTTGAACAGGTACTTGAGAGAGCTGCAAGAGAAATGGCTTCAAAGGCAGAGCTGTTTGAAGGAAGAATCAAGAAAAAACTTGCATTTGAAAATAAATGATTAAAGATTGAAAAAGATGCTAGGTTGTTGGATGTTAAACCTGCTGATAAAAAACAAAATTAGATCAAAATCATGATAAAGATTATAAAAATTTAAAAGTACTAAATGATCAAAAATAAAAAACAAATTGAAGAAAAATTTTTCTTTATATATCTACTTGCAGCCAAAAATATCACTGAATTCATGCATGATAAGGAGATTGATAAAATCAACATCCCTCCCTCCATAACTCGGTGTCAAATAAGCATATCAATATGTGTTACCAATTGCAGTATATTATAATCAATAAGAAATTGGTTGAAGCCCTGACTGGTTATAGAAATGAACTGGCGCCACACAACCAGGAGAACAATCTTTATTACTATTACTAGATTTTTTCATTAATTCGGTCATTCTATTGTGACGAGCAAGTCTTGATGGAGGGAGCAATTTTTAATCCTCTTGATTGTCTCATCTTGAGCATCTACAGTCATATTTTGTGATTATTAT